CGACGAACGCCGCAAGCGCGCCCTGATTGGTGCCGGTGTCGGCGCTCTGAGCGGTACAGCCGTTGGCGCCTATATGGATGCCCAGGAATCCCGCCTGCGCCAGCAGTTGCAGAACAGTGGCGTCAGCGTCACCCGCATGGGTAACGACGTTATCCTGAACATGCCGGGTAACATCACCTTTGACGTCGACCGCAGTGATCTGCGTGGCGATTTCATCCCGGTCCTTGATTCTGTCAGCCTGGTACTTAAAGAGTACAAGCAGACGCTGATCGACGTCACCGGCCACACAGACAGCACGGGTGCGGTTCAGTACAACATGGAACTGTCCGAACGCCGTGCCCGTAGTGTGGCGACCTACCTGCAGGCCACCGGCGTTGACTCTACACGGGTCTATACCCTGGGTGTTGGTCCTCACTATCCGGTTGCAGACAACGGCACCCCCAGTGGTCGTCAGCTCAACCGTCGGGTTGAACTGGTGCTCAAGCCTCTGACAACAGCAGGTTAAAGACCAGAGCACTTGTCCTGAGAAATAGAGTGTGACTTAAGTCACACTCTGAGCCTGAGAGTTTTTAAAACGCTTTTCCCATCACGGTTGCTGGGGGTGTTAATTGTTTTGATAGACGCTTGTTTTATAGAGCGTCAATCATGCGGGCATTGCGGCTGTTTTTCTGCGTATCTCAAGTTGTCCTCGTTTCCAGTCTTATTTCAGCCTGCGGCAGCGGTAGCAGCTCTGGGAGCAGCACGCCACCAGTAGCGGCGTCGCCCCCTGTGGCAACCGCGCCAGAGATCAGCGGCTTGAGCCCAACGGCACTTGTCTTCGACCTTGATGAGAATGAATCTGCCAGCGGTAGTCTGAGCTTCTCCAACACCGGAGACGCAACCCTGACCTTTGAACTGCAAACAACCGCGGGTTGGGTGGCCATCAGCACACCACAATCAGGCAGCCTCGCACCAGGTGACTCGACCAATATCAACATCAGCGTGACCTGTGGACCGGAAGATCTGTCGGGTAGTTTGTCTTTGACGACAAACGATGCAGATGAAGCCAGTGTCTCCGTGCCTGTTGAGGCCAGTTGCGCGCCGTTGACGCAGAATGTTGTGCTCAATCGGGTATTGTTGAATCAGGGTGCGCGAGCCTTTGATTCTGAAGTGTCTGACGCGCCCGCAATCGATATTGTTGCTGGTCGAGAACTGCTGGTGCGTGCTTTTGTCACGGGTACCGGCGTGCCGCCTGAGGCACGCGTTGTCGTGCAGCGACCAGGCCAGGGGCCGGCCAGTTTTGTCATGCAGACACCGCCAGGCATCTCTGCGTCACCTGCAGACGAATCCATTCTTTCCGCGAGTCATTATGTAGTTCTGCCTGAAAGTGTTGTGTCCGCAGACATGACCTTTCGGGTTGAAGTTGCACCCTTTTCGAATCCGGTCACCTACCCGGCCAGCGGCAACCTGGACCTCAATATTTCAGCGCTGGCTCCTTTACGGGTGACGTTTGTCCCCGTGACGTTCAATGGCGAGACACCGGATCTGAGCAGTGCGGACTACATGCGCGAGGCTCTGCAGGTTCTGCCCATTGGCGACGTGGATATCGATATACGTACACCCTATGTCTATACCGGCGCGTACGATCTGGAAGATCTGCTGATGGAGATTTCGGATCTGCGTGATCTGGATGGCAGTGATCGACTTTATCACGGTGTCATAGTGCCTCCGGGTGGTAGCAACGCAACCACAGCGGGGGTCGGGTTTGTGGGGTATCCGGTCAGCGTCAGTATTGATCTGGGTGGCGCAGCGTATGTGATTGCGCATGAGATGGGCCATAACCTGAACCTAGGTCATGCCCCGGGATGTGATGCGCCCGGCGCAGATGACAATTACCCCTACGCAGATGCAGCCGTAACCACCTGGGGCTACGACGTTACGCAGAATGCTTTGGTCGAACCAACGGATACAAAACGCGACTTTATGAGCTATTGCCGCGATCTCTGGGTCAGCGACTATCATTTTTCCCGCGCCTTAGAACATCGGTTGGGTTCATCCATTGGCTTCGGGCCCCCGGTCAGCGAGGGTCTGCTCATCTCCGGTCGATTGTCGCATACGGGCTTGTCTCGATTCAGCACCCTGCCGGTGGAACGCTACCATCCCATGGCGGCGCTTGGTGATGACCAGCACAGGTATCAGTTCCGAGCCTGGGATGCGCAAGGTGTGGAAGTGGTTAACCATGAATTTGCGCGTTTGACCATCGAAGATGTTCAGGCCAGTCATGCTTTCAGTTTCCGTGTACCTATGCCGGTCAGCGATATCCACCACTTTGAAATTCGCCATGAAGGTGCAGTTATCGTGAGCCAACAGCTGGAACGCGCCGCGGAGCGGGGTGAGGTAACCTTAGCGGTCTCGCCGCAAACTGATCAGACGATGTATCAGTGGGATAATTCGGCGCATCAGGCGCTGGTGGTTCGCAATGCCATCGGTGAAGTTGTTGCGGTCAATCGAACGGGCTCTTTTGCCCTGCCTAACAGATTGGCCGGCGGACAATCTCGAATCACCGCGGCCGTTGCAGGTTGGGGTGATATCGGCGTCGCGATGCCGGTTCCATCTGACGCTAACAGGCGCATTCAACTGGCTCGCTGACAAGTCGGTTCAATTTTCTGATATCAGGCTGATATTGCAGTGTGGAAATTCGCTGGAGATCGGCCCGTTTGCCTTGCCTTACACATAAACCCTCAAGCATTCTGTTTGCCATTCAGTACCGATTCTCAACTTGGATGCAACTAAAATGCACAACACTAAAACGTTCTATGAGCTGGATCTTGATCAACTCGAAACGGTTAATGGCGGGGTTTCTACCGAATGGGGAGTAGCGACAAGCACAGCCCTTGGTATGACGCTTGCTGCTGGCGTCGCGGCCACACCACTTGTTGCGGGAGCGCTGGCACTGGGCGGTATCTTCTCCGCGGGTGTGGCGATTTTCTACGCGCTGAGCGATGACCCCGCACAAACCTCTCAGTAAGTTCCACTTTGGGAGGCTTCGGCCTCCTTTTTTCTACTGTTCTTCAATAGGGGAAGAAAATGTCTCAGTCGTATATTGCCGCGCCTATGCTGGTTAAAAATAAAGTCAGCCGAATAGTCCTGCCTGGGTTTATTGTTGTGCTCACCATGGTTGTGCTGGGCAACTTCACCGGCGCCATTGTGGATGAAAAACTCCATATCGTGATTGCCATCAGTGCCGTTGCCGCTGTTGCAGCCGGTCTTTTTCATGAACGCCTGGTGACGCTGGCAAAACAGCTGGATACACCTGCAGCATAAAGTGCGCTTCAGCCCTAACCGGTTTTCCCGCATACTCGGATTTGTCCAGGGTTGTTGGGTGGCGGGTTTTAGTGAACGAATCATCGGGTCTTTTTGCGGCAGCTGAAATTGGCAATGCCATCAGCAAAGACGAGTTTGATAAACAGATCGAGGCATTGCGGGTCGATCTGCTGAATTACCAGTTTGATCTGCGCAGTCAGAACTTTTCTGTTGTCCTGTTAATTGCTGGAGATGATCGTCCAGGTGCAGTGAATCTGTTTCGCACCCTCCACGATTGGATGGATGCCCGATACCTGCAGAATCACATCACTTTTGGTACGGACCACAGCGAAGATGCGGAACGTCCCGTGCTGGGCCGATATTGGCGTCGCCTGCCCACAGATGGCCAGATTGGTGTTTATCTGGGCGGTTGGCCTACCTCCTTCCTCCGCGTCGGGTTACAGGAAAACTGGTCCAAAGCTCAGTTTGAAAGGGCTGCGGAACATATCAATCGCTTTGAACAGCAGCTGGTGGATGACGGCGCTCTGGTATTGAAGTATTGGCTGCATCTACCTGATGACATCTTGCGTAAACGTCTTAAAGCAGCCGATGAAAACCCCGAGAAACATTGGGACTTTGCACAGCACGACTGGGAGCTGCTGGAACAGTCTGACGACATATTTATGCAGATAGAAGCCCTTGTGCGACGCACTCACACTTTGGCCACACCCTGGTCGATCATTGAAAGCACCGATCAGTATTACGCCACCCTGACCATTGGCAGGCACATCGCTGATGCACTTGCAGCGCGCCTGGAACACCCCAGGCGCGTCCCGCACCTGACACCATCACCCCCCAGCTTCAGTCCCCAATCTCTGCTTGGTCAAATTGATTTGTCTTTGACGGCGAATGAAGACACCTATGGCGCTGAACTTGCCTCGCTGCAGGCGAATTTGAACCAATTGGCTCATCGGACCCAACAGGCAGGTATCTCCTGCGTGTTTGTCTTTGAGGGGGTAGATGCGGCGGGTAAAGGTGGCGCTATCCGCAGACTGGTTCGGGCCTTGCCGGTTGAGTATGTCCGGGTGATAGCCATCAGCGCGCCTAATGAAGCAGAAAAAGCCCATCATTATCTGTGGAGATTCTGGACCCGTATCCCCAAGCCTGGGCACGACGTGGTGTTCGACCGCAGCTGGTATGGGCGGGTGCTGGTAGAGCGGGTGGAAGGTTTTGCCACGGAATTTGAATGGAGCCGTGCTTATGAAGAGATCAATGAATTTGAAGAAAGTCTGTTTGATGCCGGTATGGTGGTGTGTAAGTTCTGGTTGCAGATAGACGCCGAGGAGCAGCTGAAGCGCTTTGAAGCCCGTGCACTGACACCTTATAAGAAATATAAACTCACAGATGATGACTATCGTAATCGCGAAAAGTGGGATCAATATCAGCTGGCCGCGGACGATATGGTGGCTCGAACAAATACACCCTATGCGCCCTGGCACCTGATCGCAGCTAACGACAAGCGTCATGCGCGTTTGCAGGTGTTGCAGAAGGTCACCGCAGCGCTGGACAAGCGCCTTGAAGCGTTCGATGCAGGTTCAGCCGGTAATGGGGACAAAAAGAACGGCAAGAAGCAGAAGAAATCAAAGTCTTAAGTAGCTGCGGCCAGGTGTGCCGTATCACGGTATAATTCCCGTTTAAGAATTTTCGAAGAGCCCGGTATGACAACAGAGTCGAAAACCATCCTGCTTGCTGGCGACGGTACCACCCGTGCAGAGCAGCGCCTGGATATGAGTAATCGCCATGGTCTGATCGCTGGGGCCACAGGTACGGGTAAAACCGTGACACTGCAGGTCCTCGCGGAAGGGTTTGCGCGCGCTGGCGTGCCAGTGTTCGCAGTAGATGTAAAAGGTGATCTGTCGGGCATCTCGCAGCCCGGGCGCCCACACAAAGAAATTGATCGTCGCGTCAATCTTCTTGGCTTGTCTGACTATAAAGCCAGCCCGCACCCCACTTTGTTCTGGGATATTTTTGGTGAGCGTGGTCACCCTGTCCGCACCACCATTTCAGAAATGGGTCCGGATATTCTGGCAGCTTTGCTGGATCTGAACGAAACGCAAACCGGCATTTTGTACGCCTGTTTTGCGATCGCGGACGATGAAGGCCTGTTGCTGCTGGACCTGAAAGATCTGCGCAGCCTGCTTGCGTTCATGAGTGACAATGCCAAAGCGCTACGTGGCGAATACGGCAATATTTCTTCTGCCTCTGTAGGCGCGATTCAACGACGTCTACTGGTGCTTGAGGCTCAGGGTGGAGAGCGTTTGTTTGGCGAGCCGGCCATTGCTCTGAAAGATCTGATGCAGAAAGACTTCTCCGGCATCGGTGTCATCAGTCTGTTGGATGCTGAACGGTTGGTACGCGAGTCGCCCAAGCTGTACGCAGCGTTCCTGTTGTGGCTGCTGTCTGAATTGTTTGAAGAGCTGCCGGAAGCAGGAGATCTGGAACAACCCAAAATAGTGCTGTTTTTCGATGAAGCGCATCTGTTGTTCAAAGACATGCCCAAAGGCCTGCTTGAAAAAGTTGAACAGGTCTTTCGACTGATTCGCTCCAAAGCTGTGGGTATTTATCTCATTACCCAATCGCCGTTGGATGTGCCTGAAAATGTGCTCGGCCAGATGGGCATGAAAATCCAGCACGCCTTGCGCGCGTTTACCCCTAAAGACCAGCGTGCAATTCGCGCGGTTGCAGCAGGTTTTCGTAATGACACAGGCGTCGACGTGGTGGGCACTATTACAAATCTGGGGCTGGGCGAAGCACTGGTTTCCAGTCTGAATGAAGATGGTGCACCTACCTCGGTGGTGGCTGGTACCGTACCGCCGCCCCAGGCTCAGATCGGCCCGATAGAAGATGCCACGCGGGCAAAAGCCATAGCAGACTCGCCCATGTCGGGACGCTACGAAACGGAGATAGATCGGGACTCGGCGTTTGAACTGTTAGCAGAGCGAACCGAAGCCGCGGTCGAGCGCGCCGAGCGCGAGGCGGCACAGGAAGCTGCGGAAGAAGCAAAGCAGGCGCAGGAAAAAGCAGCGCAAAAAGAGGCGGAACAGAAAGCCAGGCAAGAGGCCCGTGAACAACGTGCGCGATCTGGCGGCTCACGCCGGCAAAGTGCTGGGGAAGCGTTTATTAAAAGCACGCTGCGCAGTGTCGGGCGCTCATTGGGGTCACGCCTGGTGCGCGGTATTCTCGGTTCGCTCCGTAAGTAGACACTTGCAGATTGTTACGCGCTTTTTACAGTCGCCTCGCGCTCAAGTCTTACACTAGCGGAAATTGTTGCAGGAGTGGTTGGATAGCATGAATATAGGCCGCTTGTTGCACAATGCCCCGGAAATGGTGCACCAGTGCGCCCTTGAATTTAGCATGATGAGGAGACATCACAATGACTGACATAACTGTCATCGAAGGCATAGGTCCAGCCTATGCAGAAAAGCTGGCATCAGCTGGCGTTAACAGCTGCGAAGAGTTGCTGGAAAAAGGCGCGACCAAAGCGGGCCGCAACGCCATTATCGAAGCGTCAGGGATGAGTGCAACTCTAATCCTGAAGTTTGTTAACCATGCAGACCTGTGCCGGGTCAAAGGCGTTGGTGGTGAATACGCGGAGCTGTTGGAAGCCTCTGGTGTTGATACCGTGCCTGAATTGGCGCAGCGTAACGCTGAAAACCTGGCGGCTAAAATGGCTGAAGTGAACGAAGAGAAAAAACTCGTCCGCTCACTGCCTTCTGCAAAAACTGTAAGCGGTTGGGTAGACCAGGCCAAAGAATTGCCTCGAGTGATTACTCACTAGACAGCAAACCTCGAGCGCCGGCAGTAGCCGGCGCTTTGATGTGCAGGACCCCAACCAAACAGATTCCCGAGTTTTATTGCTGGCTGAAGAGCGCCAGGCACTACTTGTCCGCCTTGCCATGGCCGCGCGCGCCCAGCGGTGTATTGATGTGCAGTACTACATCTGGGCAGGTGACGGGGTTGGCATTGCCGTCATAAAGCAGCTGTTGCTTGCCGCACAACGTGGTGTGCACGTTCGTTTGCTGGTTGATGATATCCATTTCATGGGCTATGACCGCAGGGTGTTAGCCCTGAACGCATACGACAACGTTGAAATCCGCGCGTTTAATCCCTTCCGCTATCGTTTCAGATACTCACCATTACGTAGCATCGCTGAAGTCTTGTCAGGGGCCAGCCGCCTGAATCACAGAATGCATAACAAGGTTTTTGCAGTCGACGGCAATGCGGCCATTGTTGGTGGACGTAACCTCTCAAATGAATATTTTGGCGCGCATCCCGAATTCAATTTCAGAGACATAGATCTGCTGGTTGAAGGCCACGCTGTTGAAGATATCAGTCGCAGCTTTGATGAGTTCTGGGACAGCCGCTGGTCAGTGCCTCTGCAGGAGTTGCATAAACACCGTATCAAGCCGCTGATCATGTCTGATCTGTTAGCAGATTTGTCGCCTTGGGATAAACGCGTATTTGAGCTTGCGGATGATTTGCCAATAGACGAAGCGTTCGAAGTGCTTGCTGATAGCATGCGCTCCTGTCCGGTGGAGGTGCTTGCAGATACACCTTCCAAGCTTGAGCCGAGTGGCGATTATGCGTCTCCGGTGCGACAGAAGCTGTTTGCATTGTCGGCCCAGGCTCAATTCCAGATCCTGGTGGAAAACGGCTATTTTATACCCTCCGGTGATGGTGTCGAACGCCTCGCTCAACAGGTTGAGCGGGGTGTTGATGTTGAAGTTGTGACAAATTCTCTGGCTTCTAACGATACTGGTTTGTCTCACGCTGGATACCGGCGTTACCGTCATGCGCTGTTACGCTCTGGCGTGAAGCTGTTTGAACTGCGCGTTGATGCGCACTTAGGACAGGAGTTTGAACTGAGTGAGAGCAAGCAGACCGCAACGGGTCTGCACAGTAAAGTGGCAGCGTTGGATCGAGAGGTTGCCTTTGTCGGGTCTTATAATCTTGATCCACGATCAGCTTTTATAAATACAGAAATCGGCGTTGTCGTTTATGACCAGCATATAGCTGCTCAATTGGCTGATGAAATACAGCAGGTGGCATCTCCGCAGAACAGTTGGTGTTTGGGTTTGACCTTGAAGGATGATCTGTTCTGGCAACATGCCAGTCAACACAGGGCCCGTGAGCCGAGGGCAAAGTGGACTAAAACCCTTATTGCCCTGGTATTTTCCTGGTTACCCGTGGAGCGCCACCTCTAACGCTGTGCTTCCATATGGCCGTCCAGGTCAGCTTCTTCGCAGAATGCTTCAAACTGCGCCTTAAGGCTGTGCACTTTAACGTCTGCCGGTACTTCAGCGACCAGACTCACACTGAAAATAGGCGTGCCTGTATGTGCGGCAGGTCGCGTGTCGGTGTGCATGTCACGGATGTTGATCTGGCGCGCTGAGAAGAATTGTGCAACCGCGTAAACAATACCTGGATGGTCAAGCGCCATCACAGTAGCCACATAGGGGCGCACAGACTGGTTGGGCGGCCTGGATTCTGTGTCGCGGTAAATGTATGCCAGGTTGTTGCCAGCACAGAGTGTCTCAAGCTGCTGTTTGAATTGCGCCAGTTTGTCCGGTTCACCCTGCAACGCCATGAGCACCGCAAATTCGCCACCCAATACGGTCATGCGGCTGTCTTCAACGTTGAGGTCGAGCGCGCTGGCCAGCGCGGTGATGTCACTGACAAGACCTGGACGATCATGTCCGATAGTGGAAATTACTGCTCGGCTCATAACCCTGGCTCGCTGATCTTGTTGCGCACATAAGCGGCCAGGTCAGCGCAGGCGATACGCTCCTGGTCCATGGTATCGCGGTCTCGCACGGTAACGGTGTCGTCCTCTTCTATCGTCTGGAAGTCGACTGTCACGCACATCGGTGTGCCCACTTCGTCGTGGCGGCGATAGCCTTTGCCAATGTTACCGGTGTCTTCATAAAGGATTCTGCCCAGACCCAGCGCCTGTAATTCCCGCTTCAGGCCTTTGGCTTTGGCCACAATACCCTCGTGATTGCGTTTCAGAGGCAGAATGGCAACTTTGATTGGCGCAAGGTGTGGTTTAAACGCCATGACGGTGCGTTCGGAGCCATTTTCCAACGTTTCGACCCGATAGGCTTCATTCATTACAGCCAGTACGCCCCGATCAACCCCGGCGGAAGGCTCTATGACAAACGGCACTACCCAGGATTTGGTTTCCAGATTCTGCACCGCGAGTCGCGCGTTGGATTCTTTGTTAGGCGTGACTGCTGAGTGCAGGTTCAGGTCGTCCTGGTTCTTGCTGTGCGATCCCAGGTCAAAATCGGTGCGGTTGGCAATGCCCTCAAGCTCCTCAAGTCCATGCGGAAAGCGGTACATAACGTCTACGGTAGCTTTGCTGTAGTGGGCAAGCTCATCTGCGGGCACGTGGTAGAGCTCCAGATTATTTTCATTGACGCCCTGTTGCCCCCACCACTTGAGGCGTTCGGCTACCCAGGTGTCATGCCATTGTTCATCTTCTCCAGGGGCAACAAAAAATTCGAGTTCCATCTGCTCAAACTCACGCACCCGGAAAATGAAGTTGCGCGGTGTGATTTCATTGCGGAACGCTTTGCCGATCTGTGCGATACCAAAAGGCAGTTTAGGCGAGGTGGAATCCATGACGTTTTTGAAATTAGTGAAGATCGCCTGGGCTGTTTCCGGTCGTAAATAGGCAAAAGAACCGCCATCGTCCACCGGTCCGAGTTGGGTTTTAAACATCAGATTGAAAGGCCTTGGCTCTGTAAGGTCGCCTGAACCGCAACCCGGGCAGGTGTTTCCTTCAAGATGATCAGCCCGCCAGCGACTTTTGCAATTACGGCAATCTACCAGTGGATCGGTGAACGTGGCCTCGTGACCTGAGTATTTGAGCGTCAGCGGGTTGGTCAGAATTGCCGCATCAAGGCCTTCTACGTCATCGCGCTCGTAGACCATAGCGCGCCACCATGCGGCTTTCAGGTTGTTTTTCAACTCGACGCCAAGCGGTCCATAGTCGTACACACCCTGCAATCCACCGTAGATATCGCTGGATTGAAATATAAAGCCGCGGCGTTTAGCCAGCGATACCAGTTCTTCCATAGATTTTGCGGTCACAGCAGGTCTTTCTCGAAATTGCTCGGGCGCGAACTATAACCGAAATGTGTTCGCTTTTAAGCTGGCTGTAAGCATCAGCTTACATCTGTGCACATCTACGGCACAGGCAATCGGGCGCGTAACTGCTCTAATAACAGGTAGATAAAAGGGCACAGGTTCGGCACCCAAACGATCGAATCACGACCTGAGCAAAGCCACCATTAGAGAGTACCGTGAGACAAGACGACCACGAAAAAAAATGCCACTTCCGCAGCTCGGACCGGGTGTTCCATATGAATGGATCCTGGTATTTTGCGACCCGGGAGGGCGATCAGGGACCGTTTCAGAGTGAGGTTGACGCTCATGCTGAAATCAGACGATTCATAACAGAAAAAACAGAGCTGGCACATTTTCAGAAGACTCGGGAAGACGAACGTGCCAATGGCGGGCCTATAGCTGCGCAAAAGCTCGAATTGGTCGCTCTGGATGAGCGACCGATGCTGCGACCACAGAGTCATGAAGCTCTGCAGCGAAAGGTGCATATCTAACCCCGCTTCCATTTGCGTAAGCTTTCTGTTTTCCTTGCCGGCTGAAGAATTCAGCTATGGGGAAAAAAGATATGGCAGGGCTTTTTGATCTGACTGGTAAGGTGGCTTTGATCACCGGTTCCAGCAAAGGCATAGGTCGCGCAATTGCGGAAGAGATGGCACGGCAGGGTGCCCAGGTAGTGATCTCCAGTCGTAAGGCGGATGTTTGCCAGGAAGTGGCTGATGCCATCAACACGGAACTTGCAGGGCAGCCCGGTGGCGCTATTGTGATTCCGGCAAATGTGGGCCGCAAAGAAGAGTTACAGCGACTGGTCGACGAAACCCGTGCGCAGTTGGGCAAGATCGATGTACTGGTGTGTAATGCCGCCGTGAATCCTTTCTACGGCTCAATGGCTGATCTGCCTGATGATGCCTTCGACAAAATTCTCAGTGTGAACATTCAATCGAACCATTGGCTTGCGCAGATGGTGGCGCCCGAAATGATAGAACGCGGCGCGGGCTCTATTATTATCGTGTCCAGCGTGGGTGGCTTGAAAGGCAGTCCTGTGCTGGGTGCGTACTGCATATCCAAAGCTGCT